TTTTCAGTTTCCATAACATATGCAGCCAAGACTTGGGAATCCTGCCCTGGAATTTTATGAAAATCGTGACAGCACAGCTCTGTGTAGAGTGTGCCAGGAACGCCTGTTAGCTCATAAACCCTCAGTCCATTGTCACCCTGGCTTTGCAGGAAGCACAGAGAGAGTCAGAAATTGTCAAAGCCACAGGGCTGGGAAATGTGGACATGGATTCAGACCTAGCCCAGCCTCTGTGTTCAACACTGCACTACAGACACTACAAAGCTTTTTCTTTTGGGGGGGGGGGGCAAAAAGGGAAAAATAAATACACTTTCAGATTGAAGGTGAAAAGGAAAAAAGTGTTCACCATCAGAAACCTACTAAGTGGATTTCTATAAGATGCACATCTAAATGGGGCCTCCCTGGTGTCACAGGGGTTAAACACAGCACTATCAAACTATCGCCAGCCACTGCAGCATGAGTTGGATCCCCAGCCAGGGAGCTACCCACATAGTGCAACAGACCTCTCCTGTCTCCCCGCTGCTCCCCTCAGCAGTGCATTTCAATAGATCCACCTGTTTTGTTCCCCACTCTGTCTCTGATGGATCCTCTTACCCCCCCACCCCCTCCCACATATACACCTCTGGCCTTGTATGCATAAATAAATACATCTTTTTTAAAAAAGATGCATATCTTAATGCAGGAAAGTGGGCCCAGATGCAAGGAAGAGGCATCCAGAGGAGGCAGAAAATGCTGGAAACTAAAGACACTGCTCCATGACTAACAACAAGGCCTCCGAGAAAATGCCTCCTAACTGCTCTCTGCCTCCTGAGAAATTCTGAAACCGGACATGAAGTTAAAGACATATTTTATGAGGGAGAAACCCACAGACAGGGAAGCATGAGAGCAAAGTGCACACAATCCTGGAAGCTAGAAAACAGAAGGTGTGTGGTGACTGGTTTGGTTTAATGAAGAAGAGGACTTATAAGTTCAGAGTGAAAAAATATAGAAAGTAGATTTACAGGCAGAATCCTCTAAATGCTTAGGATCATCAGTAGCAGGCACACCTGGAAAAGGAAACTGACTGGAGGAGATGGAACAGGAAGACTTCTAGGCAGCAGTGAGAGACCCGAACTTAGTCTTTCCCACACGACCAGGGAGGCCACGCTGCTCTTGGGAACAAGGCGGCTTCCTCTCTGAGAAGGCACAACCCAGATGCTCGGCTCCAGGCTAAGCCAGTTCTGCAGAGAGTCCAGGAGGAATCAAGAGAACTGAATAAATACATGTCTATGGGTGCTGCTGTGCCTGGGTCCACCCCAGCTCTCCTGAGCCCCTCCCCCAGCTCCTCTAGGCCCTTCCCCCAGCTATCTTGGCTCTCCCAGCACTTCTGAGCCCCCCCCCAGCTTCCCTGGGTCCTTCCACAGCTCCCCAGGGGCCACAATAGTTCATAGGCAGATAATGATCTATGGGAAATAGAAAATAGAGAAGACTAAGGTGAGGAAATCAGATACACCAAAACTGAAACACTTATTTTTGAATTATAAGGACCACAGACTAACTGGAATGTTAAAGTTCAACCCACATCAGATCTAATCATTGTGAGATTTCAGAACACCAGGGACAAAGGGGAAACCCTACGTGCTTCCTGCAGAGAAAAACACGTCCCTCTGTGAAGGGAATCAAGGGCACCCAGGCTCTTGGCAGCCCTGTGAGGCAGAGACAGGCCAAGCAGGCACAGCTGGTGAAGGCGAGGACCCCGCCAGCCTGCTCCTATGGGTGCCTGCGCTCATGTTTCCGGTGTTTGAGGGCACACGGCCTGAAGCCGCCTTCCCACCACCAGTCGCTCTCAGACCACAAGGCCATGAGGCCCTTGAAAGACAACTGGAGGGGCCCGGAGGCAGCTGGGGTGGGGGGTGCCCTGAGACTTGGGGCAGTTTCCCGAAGAGACGAAAGTAAAAGGTCACCTGGTGACTCTCAGCATCTGTGAGGACACGCACCATGCTGGCCACCACTGGGATGAAGCCACAGGAAATGAAGAAACTAGAAGATGAGATTAGTAATTTGGGTGAAAATCAAAATTATGCATAAAAGGAAAAATAACCATAATGACAGTCTGCTGCCAACTCAGTTCTGAATAACATTTTCAAAGTCATTTAAATATCGACCTAATTCAAATGATGCCCAATGAGACCCTACAACCCCCTGCCCTGAGGTCCTCTGCTCAACCACCGAGCATCGGCCACATGGTGTCCCAGCCCGCACAGGGGGCAGGGAGAGCCTCCCCCCTCGAGGTCCTGTGGGGCTGGGCTGGGCCTGACCATCCTACACCCTTGGACTCTGCTTGGAAGGCAGCACAGGGTTCTCGTGGCTGCTTTCCCGGAGCTTCGACTTCAAGAGGGGGCATCCATGCACCTGGTAGAGGAACCCCCACCCTGCAGGGGGCAGCAGTGCCCCCCGCTGGTGTCCAGCCACATGGGCTCACAACACCCCTTGAGGCAGAAGCACATGGCGCCACAGAGAGAAGGTCAGTCCCAACAACCGAGGAGAGCATCAAAAGGAGCAATTGAAAGCTGAAAGCAGTTTCCTCGAGAAGAAAGAAATAAAAGCAGAAAGGAGCAAAACCTTGGTGCGGGGCCTCCCTGGTGGCACGAGGGGTTAAGATGCAACCTATGAAGCTGTTCGCAGCCTCTGCAGCATGAGTTCGATCCCCGGCCAGGGAGCTACCCACAGGGCGCAGCAGACCTCTCCTGACTCACCCGCCGCTCCCCTCAGCAGTGGATTTCAGTGGATCCGCATGTTCTGCTCCCCGCTCTGTCTCTGGTGAGTGCTCTCACCCCCCACACCTCTGACCTACACCCCAGCTCTTGTATGCATAAATAAATAAATCTTTGGGGAAGAAAAAAAAAGCCTGGTGTTTCCTCAAGCTGCGGAAGCTGCATGTGCATCAGTTTTCCTGCAGTGAAAGAAAAACCGGACCAAGGAGAAGTTATGATAACGTCTAATGTGTGAGTTTGAACAATTCAACACAAATGCTGGCCAGTGGCAGCACAGGGTTCTGGAGAAGGCAACACAGTTTAAGCGATGCAAAGTCCTCTCGTTGGGGACACTGATTAGCTTTGATCTGTCAGACACGCATACTGAAATCTTCGGGGCGATTACTATAAAAAAATGTAGGCAGCATAAATTCTGACGTTAATAAGGGGACAGAATCCTCAACTCAGAGAAGAAAGGAGAAAAAACACAAAATAAAGAATGTGTGAAAGGAATGAAATTAATATGCTAATATCTAAAACATAAAGCAAAATGTGTTAATAAAGAGTAAAGACTACTTCCTGATGACCCCAAATATGTCCACTTTAAGTTTTTAATACGATAATTCTTGAGATCTGTACAGTGAAATGGGGAGCACTATCAGGATAAATTGAGACACCCGCCGTCACTGTGAGTGAAATTGATAAAATAATGCAATTAGGCACCAGGAGGACAGAGACGACTGACCCAAAGCAATTCAGTCGGCGCCGTGGGCGCCTGGAGCACAAGGCAGCCCCGTGCGGGACACGCCTCACCTCCAAGCCCGCACGTCTCGTTTATAAGAGTTCATCATATTTTGGACCATGGGAAAAAAACACCCGTTTCCCAGAGCTAATGTTCCAGAGACCTTTCTCGGGCCAGGGTGGGGGGCGGGTGCAGAGGGTGTGGGCTCTAGGGCAGAAATCAGGAATAAAAAACGACTAGGAAAAGTCGTGTATTGGGAAGCTGAAACACATGTCTGAAAACTCCAGATCATGGAGCAGGAAGAAATGAAATTATAACATTTTTATACTCAAACCAAAGTAAATACCCTGTATCTTAAAACCTTGGCACACAGTTAAAATTTGTCATCATAGAAATGCAAATTAAAACCATAATTAAATCTAATCTTACAGTCACCAGATTCGCACAAATCAAAAATAGAACAATAACAAGTGTGGGCAAAGACACGGCCAATAGACACACGTCTGCACGGCGAAGGGGCCGCAGAGACGTTGGGAAACTTAACAAGTGACAACTGACACGTCCTGTGAAGTCTGGATTGTCGGAGCCGTGGCTCGCCCCTCCACACATGTCCCCGCAGGTGGACACCTAGGGTGTCAGGAAAGCGGCCTGACGGTGGCCCTGGAACCGCCAGCACCAGGGGCACACGGGGAGGCTGAGCTGCTGCTGACATGCGCCCTGAGGCAGCACTGGCACAGGGTGGCCGGCTGCGGAGAGCAGGGCCAGTGCAACCTCGAGGAGCGGACACGAAGGTGCCCAGGGAGGGGGCTCTAAGGGTGCAAGAGGGACAGCGAGCAGGCTGGGGGCTGCGTGAGCAGGCCAGGCACCACCCATGCCGGCCGTGAGGACCTGGCGACACACGTCCCCAACTCCGGTGGCCACCATGGGAGGGAGCGTGGAGGAGCCAAGGTCCTGCCCACGTCTGCCCCAGCCTGGGCTAGTGGCAGGAGCCCCAGAGGGAGCGCGGCCTGAAGACAGATTGAGCCTGGTCTGTCCTGAACCTGCCCTGGGGCGAGGCCTGGTCCTCGGCCTGAGCCCGCGGTCGCCCTGGCCCAGCCGCGTGGGCCGCAGGGGCTCCTAGGGACAGGGAGGCCGCTGAGCTGGGCGCCCTCAGCGGGGGCAGCAGGGAGAGGGCTGTGGGGGCACCTTCCTCCCTTTCTCACTGCCTATTCCTCAATGTCCTCAGACTGGCCAGCAGTCAGTCGCTCAACGAAACGTCCCCGCAGAGGCTGGTCCAGCCGCAGCCTCTCCTGTTCCCTCCAGGTCTTCTCAGCACCTGGCCCAGACCCCGCTGGGCCCAGACCCTCACTGGGCATGTCCTCCCGAGACAGAATCCGGACACCATGCTAGACCCACCCTGCTCTTGCACTCACACACACACCGGCACGCTCTGAGGTCTGGTCGGCGCAGCAGAGAAATCAGAAAAGCCCCAGAAACCCAGCCCCGACCTCGGAATGCTGCCCCCTCCCCGCGTCACAGCGTGGACTCACAGGCGAACTGGACTCTGGCCTCCCTGCTGGCCACGGTCCCCAAGGAGTTGCTGGCAAAGCACTGGTAGTTGCCGGCATCCCGATGCCGGTCGGGGCTCAGCAACACCAGGTCCCCGCCCCGCAGCCGGTAGCTGGGCTCCCCGCTCACGTCCAGGTGGGTCCCGTTCCGCTGCCACCTGCAAGACAGGCAGGGTCAGGCCGCGAGGCCAGACGCGCGTCCACGCTCAGGCTATGCGTAGTGGCGGGACAGCCCCGGGCCGCAGACAGACGGGGCAGGGCCAGAGGTGCTGCTGGCGAAAGGCCTTGCAAGATTCTCCCCGAGGCCAGACCCTGACTCTGGTCATGGAAATAGCGTCCTGTCTTGCCCGGGGAGGTGGAGGTCGGCTCGGCTGGTGAAGAGTAAGGGTCGGGCCGCGCGGGGACTGCGAAGATGAATGGAAACTCAGGGAAGCACATCCTGCCTGCTGCAACGTGGGAAGTCTGAGGGACCACACGCTTTGGGGGAAACGCCTGGTTCTGGTGAGCAGATCTGAGCTGCTCAGCCCCAGCTTGTGACGAACCCAACAAGGGGGAGACGTGCGGCGTCCGCGCTCACCGCCTCGCTCGGCCCCCAGATGCCGCCCACGGCCTCCCACGGACGGCGCTGCTGCCCGGGAGCGACAGAGTCTCAGAGCAAAGTCTTTCAGAGACAGGGAAACTGCAGAAAGCTTCAGAGAAGCAGCCTCTGCACATCCAACTCCCCAGGGGGCCAGCCAGGGCCCAGCACAGCAGTGAGCGGCACTGTCACTGGTCAGGGCGCACTGCGTGGACCTGGCTCTCAGCCGGGTGGCAGTGTCCAGCACACGCCCCGCAGATGGGTTTGCTCCTGGGACCCAGGAGTGAGGAGAGCTTTCATCGCCGCTCACAGATGTGCTCTCCTTGGGCAACCCGACTGTCCCCTCCAGCATGTGGAGGTGGCCATGTGGAGCCCCAGACTGGCCCGTCTGCTTGACCGTGAGCGAAGGTAGGCGTGTTCTTTGGAACTGAAACCAACAAAACTGCAAGTAGACACAGTGGCTGCAGGGAGGGTCACTGAGCCAGGACGGTCCCACAGGTGGGAGGCAGGAACAGGAGCGCCGCAGAGGGCCAAGGTCACTGCTGCAGAGGGTCGAGATCACCTCAGAGAGCCAAGGTCGCCATCTCAGAGGGCCAAGGTCACCGCAGAGGGCCAAGGTCGCCATCTCAGAGGGCCAAGGTCACCGCAGAGAGTCAAGGCCATGGCTGTAGAGGGCCAAGGTCGCCACAGAGGGCCAACACCACCCTTAGACCAACATACACAAGGGAGGGAGATGCCTGCCGAGCCTTGGGCCGGTCCGGAGTCGCCCACACTGAACACCCCGGAGACCACAGGCCACAGGTGTCTGGGGGTTGACAGGAAAATTAGGAATTTAATCACAGGAGCAATTTGTGATTTCAGATGCGGCTTCCAAGTTCATAAGCAAAGGCGTTTGTGTTGAGACGCGATGTTTGTTAATATGTTTACTGAAGTGATGAGAATAATCGCAGCCCTGGAAGGGACGGATGTCTGAACACGCAGCTTCAATGCTTTATCCAAAAATACCCAGCCGTGCGTCAGCAGTAACTGCCGAAGTTACAAATGAGCTGCAGTGTGATGCTGCTTAAAAATTGAGTCTTAAAATGCATTTTATGACACAGATTCCCATTTCTTGCTCATTGATAAATTCGAAACGTAATATTAAAAACACCCTGGAGACGAGGCTGCACTGGCTTGAAGACGGCTGTTCTGTTCTCCTGGCAAGGCCTTGAGTCGGCTTCAGGGGCCTCACCCGGGGGACCCTCCTGCCCCACCCCTGCCCCGAGGAGGGCCCACAGGACCATCTGCCCGCGGCTGCCAGAACACCCGGGGCCCGGGCCCTCAGGTTGGAGCCTGTGACCCGCCCGCATGTGACCAGGGTGCTGCAGAACTGCAAGAAACGGGAGAGATGTGGTTCCTTTGCTCCCGGTGGCCCTTCCCACCCAGGAACTCCACCCTGGCCCGGCCGGCGGGCACCACCAGCTTGAGAGAGGGAGCCCCCTGCAGGCGGTGCCCAGAGCACGCCACAGGTGTGGGTCACTGGTGCAGAAATGGGGCCAGAGGCAGGGACACCCGAGCCTGAGGGGAAAGGTTGGGGGGGGCGTCCTGCTGGGGCGGCCAGACCAAGGGCCTGGCATCCACCTCCCTGCTCTCGCCACACAGGCGACCAGGGGTGGTCACTCGTGCAGGCAGCTTGGCCCCAGCCTCCAGGCAGCCATGTGCTGACACGCCCTGTCCCCAGCCACTTCCTGCTGTAAAATCCAGGTTCCGGGGCTGAGAGTATTATTTGAAAGCACAGTGAGCTGACAGGCGTGTCAGGCCTCCAGCCGCCACGCAGAGGAGAAGTGGGCAGCTGGCAGCTGCGGCCCCAGTCCAGGGGGGAGCACGGCATCCCACTAGCCCGGCCGGCCGCCTCCCTCAGCTCTGGCAGCAGCACCAGGATGAGGGGGTCTCGCCGCCATGAGGCATCCTGGAGTGCGCCGGGCTGCTCTGCGGGCTGGGTCGGAGGAAGACACCCGGCGTAAGCGCAGCTCCTCACCATCAGGCTGGCGTCCAGGCGGCCACATGGCAGGATAGTGGCTGCTGCTCACGGGTGACTCACCCCTCACAGCCGGCCCCAGACCCCAAGAGTCGGAGCTGTGTATCCCCAGCAGGAAGGCGCCCATCAGCCCTGCCCTGTCCGGCCCCGCTCGGCTGCGTCCGGCCTGGGACCAGCACGTCGCCCACCACACAGGACGCCGAGGGCACGCAGGGCCTCACACAGACGCTGTCCCTCCCGGAAATACCCCAAAGTGAACTTCACTTTGCCTCCAAGAACGACCACAGCTGTTCAGCGAGGCCGTGTGGTCACAGCCACAGCCCGGAGCACACAGCGGGGGTGGCAAGGCCAGTGGGCACGGCGAGGCCAGGAGGCAACAGAGCCACCTGCAGGGACACGTCGCCCCAACCGCATGAGACAAGGGGTTTTCCTGAGCTGGCTGTGAGAAGGGGACGCCAAGCTCAGGGCCCACATGGGGCCAGCAGCACTGGGCGTCGGGGCTGGCACAGACCCCACATACCTGTACTGCGGTGCGGGGTGGCCTCTGGCCTCGCAGTTCAAGGTGAGTCTCCTCCCGCCCGGCCCAGCCGGGGAGACGCTGTCACTGGGCTCACGGGTGAACACGGGGCCGCGTAGGAGCAGCTCACCTGCAGGGCGGGAGACACAGATGGTCGGTGTTCCCGGCCCGGATGCCCCAGAGCAGCAAGGCCAGGCAGCAGTTCCACGGGAATGAGGCCTGTCAAGGGGACAGGAGGCCACGGTGACCACTGTGGAGATGGATCCACGAGTCCCCCACGGCCTCAGTGCCACACTGACCGCGCGGGCATCCTTCCTGCGGAGGCCCTGCTGAAAGCCCACAGCAGAGCCCAGGCCTCACCCCAGAGCTGCGGGCCTGCTGCCCGGGGTGGGGGACGCCAGCCCAGGGCAGCCCCGCGGAGGCCGCACCGGGGACAGCCCCTCACACAGCTCTGTGGAGGAACGGATGCTGCCCCCCAACTCAGCCCCAGAGCCCAGTCCTCAGAGCACCCCAGGAGAACCCACAGACAGAGACAGCCCCTCCTCTGCCACCTTGGGCATCATCCGAGAACCTGGCTGACGCCAAGTCGAGCGCAAGTCTGAGACATGAAGGAGCCAGGAATGGCTGGAGAAATAAACGAGCCGCAGCACCCAAGCCCCACACGCGGTGGAGCTTTGTCTGGCTTCTGCGAGCAGCAGCGACTTGCGCAGACACACTGGCCGTGAGCACAGGGCACAGAGGAGCAGCCGCGCACACAGGCCAGCCCTGCCCAGTGTCACTGTTGATCCCACAGAAGATTCTGGCCGAGAGCCCCCAAAGTGAGCCTCCCCGTCATTCCACAGTGGACTTTGCTGGAAAACTGGCCACTGTCCTGGGAGACCCCGCCTCGCGCCCCCCCACCATCTCCACAGCCGGGGCCTGAGGACCCCAGAGCACAACCCCCACCCCAGCCCACCCCAGCCCAGTTCCCGGAGTTGTCCCCCAAGTGAGTCCAGAGCCATTTGCTCAGCACCTCAGAGCCCTGCCTGGAGCCCTGCCCCTCGCAGGCAGCCTGAAGCCCTGGGCAACGCTGACCTCCCAGTCTCCATGGGGCCGCGTCCTGGGGGCACATCCTGGGGGCGCATCCTGGGAGGGCTTCCTGGGGGGGCATCCAGGGGACACGCTGCCCCTACCTGGAAAGGGCAGCTGCGCCCAGCCCGCCCCCTCACACAGGCCCCCACCTGCCTCGGCCAGCACCTCTGTCCACCCGACACATGGCAGCCCCGGGCCTGAGGCCTGTGCTCTTCAGGTGGTTTAGCAAGGGAATAAACAAACAAAAGGAAACATTTCAGCTTATCTGCATCCACCACACAGCGGCTAAGTCTAAACGGGGCAGACAAGGGTATTCAGTCTTTCGACTTTATATGCTGGAGAATTTTTATAAGAAGAAAAATTTGTAAAATAAAATAACTACTTGCGTGGATTTCATTTATTTTAAAATACTCTTCTCTCACTCACCCGCTCCTCTGGAGACAAAGCAAAGAGGAAATACATCAACGATTAAGACTAGTTGTTTTTATGGTTGAGAAATAAGAATCAGCCCTTTCGCTTTCTACGTTGTTCTAAGTTTCAAATTTTAAAAAATCAATTAGAAAAATAAAGAAATAGACTATCTTTGCTTTTGATGCCTAATAAAATTATTTAGTATAAGGAAAATAGCATTAGTTAAGATTAGAAAAGAAAGTACCAACAGCCTTTAAAAATTTACATTGTCGGGGCCTCCCTGGTGGCCCAAGGGGTTAAGACGCAACCTACGAAGCTGTCGGCAGCCTCTGCAGCACGAGGTCCATCCCCTGGCCAGGGAGCACCCACACGGCGCAGCAGACCTCTCCTGTCTCCCCGCTGCTCCCCTCAGCAGTGTGTCTCAGTGGATCCGCCTGTTCTGTTTCCCACTCGGTCGCTGGTGAGTCTCTCACCCCCTGCACCTCTGGCCTGCACCCCAGTTCTTATACGCATAAATAAATCTTTTAAAAAATTTACATTCTCCCTTGTGTATTATAGATGATAACCTTCAATTCCTTTTGGAGAAATTAATTAACTTGCTAAAATTCCAATAAGTATTCTGCTTGTAATACTGTTTTCGCTGCTGAAAAAAGCAGTTTATAAAAACTGGGGGGTGAAATGAGAATCTGATCACCAGAAGACAGAATTAGAATGTTTTTTTCTGGGAAATAAAGACTTGTTTTTCTTCGCTACTGGTGACAGGTCACCTGGGCATCCAAAAGTGAGTCGAGGCAGGAGTATGGGCCGCCCCGAGGCAGCAAGCCCCCCTCCCCAGCACCCGCCCAGCCCTTGGTACCTCCCAGGCAGCCGAGGAAGGGCAGCAGGAGCCACTGTCGCCATGGCAACACCATCTTCCCGCTGCAAGCCGAGTCCCTTCGGTCCAGGCTCCCGGAACACAGGCTCTGCCTTCAGGTGGAGCCTTTAATCTGTAAATATAGGTACAGAGAAGTTACACTTGCAAAAAACAACTGCTTTTAAAAATAGACTTTTCTTTCTATAGTAGCCACTCAAAATCCTCAAAGAAAGGACTCTTTCGGATACAAAAGATGAACTGTAGCTGCTCTAACAAAGTGTAGATGCTTTAAAGAGCCATGCAGTGTGGGATCCCCGCCCTCCTGGTTCTGGGGATGTCCTCCCGGCACCCAGTTTCTGCTTGTCAGTGAGGTGCAGGGTCCTGCTGGGCCCCCCACTGAGGGGGAGACTCCTGCTATGAGGGATACCCCAGGAAGCAGTGTGGGCTGCAAACAGCAGGCAGGAACAATGGGGCCCCCCAGGCATAGCCCGGTCACCCCACCCTAGTTTACATCGCCATAACTGAGTCCCCCACCCATGTACACTCCCCTCATGCTTGCCCCACCTTTGCAGGACAGTAAACAGGGTGCACATCACTGCCGGGTGCAGCCCCTCTGGGCTGCTCCCGGCTCACCCCGAGCTCCCAACCTGGCCCCACGGGGCCAAGGGAACTGACAGGAGAAGGGAAGGACTTGGCAGAATCGGAAATGCTCAGCAGTTCGAGGACATCTCAGACTAGGAAACATCAAAACTTTGGGTAGGAAGTAATTAAAACAGCTTTTGCCCTGAAATTTTAAACGTTCAATATTCTCCAAAGACAACATTTTTGGGAAACAAAGAGCCCAGCAGGTGTGTGCCCTGCAGCGCCCCCGGCAGCTGACGACCATCACCCCAGTTTCCAACCTGAGGCCCCACCACAGATGCGTGGCCAACAGAGAGGCCAGGGCTGGAGGCGTCCCGGGGGCGTGTCCTGGGGGCCTGAGGCCCACGCGAGCGACCGTCCTCTCCGGTCTCACTGACCGCAGGTGCCGGTGAGCGAGGTGACGATGTGACGTGTCCTTTCAGTGGGCACAGCCCCGCGGGCACAGCCACCATTCCAGGCGCCTGGCCCAGCATCTGCACTTTGTTTTCCGACTTCCAAAGGAATTCCGCCACGGGCCCGTGAGCACATCAGGGCCGGGCCCAGGACACGCCAGGAGCCCCATTCTGGGGTGGGGCCATACTGCAGGGGCCTGCTGCTGCCCCCCAGGAGAGCTGGGTCGCCCCACAGCTGCTGCGGCCTGGCCCAGGACGCCAGGAGCGCAAGTTCTCCCTGCAGCGAGTCCCTGCAGAAGCACAGGTCATTTCTAAAGAGCCACCGAAGAGACTCGACAGAGGCCTGGGCAGGCACTTTCAGAGACGGGGTCAGAAACTGGGAGAGCAAGGAGGCGCCTCCACGCAGGAGCTCGGCCTTGACACGCCTGGCACGTGGGTGCAGGGAAGAGGAACGGTCGCCAGCAACCCCAGGCGGACGCCTGGACAGGGCCCCGTCACAGGCCGGGATGGCCGCAGCCTGGAGGGAGGCACCCGAGCCGCCACCCAGCTGCGCCCACCCCACTCAGCCCCCTGCAGGCCGTGGGGATGGGCTGGGGACGGCATGGGCAGGGAGGCCGTGGGGACAGGCTGGCGATGGCAGGTGGGGGACAGCAGGACGGGGCTGGGGACAGCAGGACATGGCGACCCTGGGGTAGGGCTGGGGCCCGTGGGCGGGGGACAGCAGGGACGGGGGCGCAGTGGGGACAGTGGGACGCGCTGGGGTGTCTGCCTGCAGGGGGGCTGGCCGGGAGGCTGGCCCAAGGGTCCGGGAAGCGGGCGTCTCCCCGCACCGTCTCCCTCAGGCTTTGTCTGCACACGCGGGGCGAGGCCGGGTGACAGGATTTTGTGCAGATGAATCAGCAGCTGTTTGTGAGGCTCTGGGGTGCCGGGCAGAGCGGCTCCCAGGGCCCCGCAATCCACTGGCTGCAGCCCGAGGGGGTGCGGGCGCAGAGGCCGCGGGTCTCCTGAGCGCCCCGGGACGGATCCGATCCCCTGCCGGCTCGTGCTGGCCGGGGCTGCCGGGGTGGGGCGTGGGGGGGCGCAGGGGGTGCGCGCTCACCCGCGGGGTGCGCTCCCAGGCAGAAGCGGGGGCGGAGCCGCCCCTCCGGCTGGAGGAATTGCGGGGGGGGGGGGGGGGGAAGGCCGGGAAGGCAGGAGGGGCCGGCGCGGACTGGGGGCCGGGCGGGCGGGGCTCCCGGAGGGGCGGGGCGGGGCGGGGCGGGGGGGCGGGCGGGGGCAGGGCTGGAAGCGGGTCGCCAGGTCCGGGGGCTCCGCGCACAGCGCCCCCTGAACAGTGGGCCCGAGGCCGGGGTGTCCGGCTCCGGGGCGCGGGCATGCGGGGGGGGGGGGGGGCGGCGGGGGGGCGGGGCTGAAGCGCAGCCCTGTGGGGTGAGGGGGCGCCGAGCCGCCCCAGAGCCCGGAGCCCGGAGCAGCCCCGCCGCAGGGGCCGAGGAGCGGCGGCAGCGACGGGGCGCCCCGAGCGAGAAAGAGGCGGGGGTGGGGGGTGGGGGGGTTAGGGGGGCGGCTGGGAGGGAGGCCAGAGGCCTGCGGGCCACCGCGGGTCTGCGGGTGCAGACGCCCCAGGGCTGGAAGAGGGGGGGGCAGAGGGAAGGGGGCGCTGCCGCAGGGAGGCCCCGGTGAGGCCACGGCCGGCCCAGCCCACGCTCAGCCCGAACCCAGGACGCGCGGCCCGGCCCACCCGCAGGAGCCGGGCGGTGAGCGGCCCGGGGGTGCCGCGGGCAGCGGGGGGCAGACGAGAAAACGGCGCAGTTGGGAAGCGGGTCCCGGCAGAGAGAGGGCAGAATCGGGGAGCCCCCCCGGAAATACTTAAAGTGCCTTCTCCTGGGTGGGCAGCAGTGACATCTGTGTGCACCTGTGTGCGTGTGTACACGTGTGTGCATGCATGTGTGCATTTGTGCACGCGTGTGGGTGTGTACACATGTGCATGTGTGTGTATTTGTGCACGCATGTGGGGTGTGTACACGTGTGTGTGCGTGTGCCAGGTCGAGGGCTGGGGGGACGGGTGGCCTCTCGGCCCTCCTGCGCCCTGGGAGGTGCCACCTGCCGCAGGCCCTGGAGCCCGGGGAGGGAGCGCTGATGTCACCCACGTTCAGAAGACACGCGGCTGGTGCTGCACAGGGCAAGGGGGTGTCCCAGGCACCCCCGAGAGAAGCCAGTGGCCGGCCAGGGCCTGAGGGAAGGTGGGGGAAGGGTGTACCTCAGAAGGTTTCAGATGCGAATGGAGAGGACACACAGTCTTTGCTGCATGGCCCCCAAATCCGGGCACCTGAACCACCGCAGCAGCCCCGGGAAGCCTCCTGCTGTGGGGCCGGCCCTGCCAGCAGCACAGCCTCAAGTCCTGGAGCCCAGCTCAGCCCGGGGAGCCCTGCGCCCTTGGGGAGCGGGTGGGACAAACTTGTTTTAGAACACAGGAAATTTAGGGTCTGCACCATCGGGGCTCCTTGGAGAGCTGTGAGAAGCCGCGACTGGATGCTCGGCTCCCAGAAGGGCAGCGTGTCCGCGACGCGGAACCTTCCGAATCACCCTGGCCCGCTTAATAAAAAGAGTCATTTTTCCTCACTTTGTGCAATGCAGCTTCTGCGCAGTAAAGATTCCACAAATATTTACACCCCATGTAGCGAGGTGGCTGGGATGCTGTGGAGTCCTGCCAGCACTTCTATTATAAACCCCTATTTCTTGTTTATAACGTGTCCATAACAGGAGGGAAATAAAAATGCATGATAGGTAAAACCTGGCATGCAAAGTTTGACCAGGGAGTACATTTCTTCTCCAGTAAATTTTCAAAAGAAACAGTTCCACTGTGTTCCGGGGCTAGTGGAGGAGGGAGGGCCGGGCCACCCCGGAGCCATTCCGCAGGCTGGTCCCCACCTGAAAGTCTCACACCGACTAGGTCTGGGCCTGACATGTGTTTCCCTCGATGTTGAACAAAGGCTCTGCTTTAAGCCACCCGGAGCCCCGCACTCATGCCAAGCGCCTTTGCAGAGAGGACATTATTGCATGGGCACTTATCAGCCCGGAGACAGGAACGGGTCCCCAGTGTTAGTGACTGCTAGGGATGCACCAAACAGCTCAGAGAGCGCGGGGGCCGGGGTGCGGGGCGCGGAGGCCTGCTGGTGAGGACCAGGTCAGGCGCGAGCAGGGAGCACAGCCTGCAAGTCCTGCCGCCCCACTTCTCCTAGCACAACCAAAGGACTTCACAGCGGGCGCTGGTGGAGGGCACCTGCCGCCGTCCCGGGCCGCTCCGCCAGGGGGTGCTGCTGCGCGGCGGCACACAGGGGCCATCTGAAGGGGCCGTTCTGGGGACAGGCTGTCTGCCCAAAACACAGGAAGCTTCCTGGGAGCCTGGCGTGGGGCACTCAGATCCCCACAGTGAAAACCAAGCTGGAGGCTGGCACTGAGCTGAGAAGTGCAGGAATCTAAAGAGACTCCTTTGCTGCAGGCCAGGGCTGGCCACCGGGCACTGGGACCGGGGCCTGGGGTGTGAGGACGAGGCCATGCAGTCTAGGTCCGCAACTGCGTGTCCACACCACCCCACCGCTCTGCACCCATTAGAGGTTGTGCTGCCATTTCAAGAGCAGCTGGGCTCTCCGCTGTGTGGTGAAGGAGCGTGGCAAGTTCAGGGTTCTGGAGACATGCGGGACCCGGACCACTGCCCGCCCTGCCTGAGTCTGTCGCCCCCCAGAGCACCCCACCCCTGTCTCTGTGGCCTGTTTTGGGGCAGGAGGCCCACACAAAGCACTGGCCTGGCCCTTCATCTAAAGCACGCAGCAGTCTGTGGGGCCCGCGGGGCCGAGCCTGGCTGTGCCTGCGAGCCAGGAGCATCTGACTCAGGCCCACGCAGAATCGCGGCCATGGCGTCCATGCTTTACTCCACAACAGCGAGGCTGGACCCACCCACGGGCTCCAGGCTCCCGGAGCAACAGCGATGACCACACAGCCGGGGCGGGTGGGCTGCTCCGGGCAGGGGCCGAGCCTGCAGGACTCCCCACAGGCCCCGGTGGGGCACCAGTCCCGGCAGGCGGTCAGTGCAGAGATGGGAGCAGCCGGACTGGGCACTGGGACGCGGTCACGCTTTCAGACACGCCCGCTCCCTTCCCTGGGGCCGGGCTCTGAGTCCCTCTCTGGCTATCGCCTGCTTCGAGTCTATTTACACATCAGGAAGCTTTGTGGTGGGTGCGATATCGTCTCCGGGGAGACGGAGCTGCTGCAGCACAGCCTCCTGCTTGCTCCCACCCTCGCTGGGCTCCGCGGGCTCTGCCCCCACCCTGCTCCAGGCCGGGGCTCCCCAGCTGCCCTCTCCGTCTGGTCCCCTCCCGCTGGCTCCCACGCAGACTGGCTCTGCTCTCTCGGGCACCGTTTGCTGTTAAATAAATCATCCCTGGCACATCTCCTTGCTGTGCATCAATAAGCAAATGCAATCCAGCAAGGACGGGACTGGGGCGGCGCAGGGCTTCCCTCCAGCGGAGTCCAGGCAGCGCCCAAACTGCTGATGGTGCAGGGACGGGTGCCCGCGCCCCTCCCGGCTGCCGGGGATTCTGCCTCTGGCGGGCGTCTGTCCTCCCAGGGCCGAGGCGCAGCCTGGCAGCCCTGGCCCCAGACCCGGCTCTCCACGGGGCAGCCGGGACGGGCACACGGCCGGGGGCGGCGCGGCTGGGGCTGGAAGGGGCGAGAAAACGCAGCCGGGAGACTCGGTCGCTCGCCCCCGACTCCGCGCGGGGCGGGCCAGGGACGGAGCTTCCGGCTGGGAGCGGCGCGCCGCGCCCCGGGACCCAGGCTGCGCCGCCCCCCCCGGCCTCCAGGCCCATAACTTTTTTATTAACTTTGCAGCAGCCAAACCGCCACGCTGAGGGCGCCCCGCAGACCCTCCCGCTGCGCTCGCGGGGTCCCGCCGGGGCGCCGGGGTCCCCCCAGACAGCCCCGCCCGAGACGGGGCGCCCGCGCGCCCGGGCGAAGCGGCCCCGCGCTCGCTTCTCAGCCGGCGCGGGCAGGTCCCCGCAAACTAACTTTGGGGCCGGGGAGCCGCGAGGCCGGGCGCGAAGCCGCCCCAGCAGGGCTCGCCGGGGCGCCCGGGGCAGCGGCCCCACCTACCTCGGCCGGTCGTCCCGGCGCGGTCGCCGCCTGCGCCTCGCCTCTCCCGGCCCGGCCCGGCCCAGCCGAGCCCAGGCGCCGGGCCGGCGCGGCCGCCGGGGCTGGAGGGGCCCTCGGGGCGGCGCGAGAGCCCGGGGTGCTGAGGCCGCCTGCAGCCGCCGGCGACGCCCGCCCGCCGGGGCGGGGCCGGGGCCGGGGCCGGGGGGGGGCCGGGGCCGGGGCCGGGGCGGGTGCCGGGGCCCGTGCGGGTGCTCGGCTCGGGCTGGCGGGCGCCGGCGGCGCGGAGGAGGAGTCGGCGGCGCGCGGAGGGAGGGGCGGGAGCCCGCGCAGCCAACGGGCCCGCGCTGCGTGCGCCCACGTGCGTCTGGCGGGGCGCGGGCGCGGGGCGCGAGCGCGGGGCGGGGGTGCGGGGCGCGGGGCGGGGGCGCGGGCGGGCGGGGCGCGGGCCGCGGGCGGGGCGCGCGCGGGGCGCGAGCGCGGGGCGGGGGTGCGGGGCGCGGGGCGGGGGCGCGGGGCGCGGGCCGAGGGGCGGGGGGCGGGGCGGGGCGCGAGCGCGGGGCGGGGCGCGGGGCGGGGCGCGGGGCGGGGGGCGCGGGGCGCGGGGCGGGGGGCGCGGGTGGGGCGCGGGGCGCGGGGCGGGGGCGCGGGGCGGGGGCGCTGGGCGCGCTGTGGGAATCGCGCTTCTCGGGGTGCTCCTGCCCGAGCGGGGGGAGCGCGCCCAGCGGCCGCTCTGACGTGAGCGGGAAGGTTCCGAGGTTGGCTGACCCGGGCCGGGCGCGCTTGGATCGGTCCCGCGGGCGCTCCCGGGCAGCGGGTCCATTGGCCCCATTTACCGGGAGAGGAAATTCACTTGCCGAGCCTCGAGCGCGGCATCTACGGAAACCATCGCAGCCGCGTTTTCTCGGGAGCCCCCGGCTGCGCCCCTGTTTGCCTGCACGCCGCACCCCGGGGTGGAGGCCCCACCCGAGCGGCCCACGCGGCTGGGGACGGAGCGCGACCTGCCAGGCCAGGCGGCCGCCGGGAGAACCGGGACGGCCCCGGGCGCAGCCCTGCAGGCTGGGGAGGCGCCGGGCAGCAGCTGCGGAGGGAGCCCCTCCCAGCACCCGGGGGGACCCTGCGGGCGGCAGGAGGCAGCTGGCGGAGAAGGTGCGGCCTGTGCTCTGCGGGCCCGCCCAGCGGGGCCTCCCCGGGGACAGCGCCCCAGCAGGCCCGCGAGGCCGTGCGACCCCGACGCTGTTTCAGTGTGTCTAAGTTGCGTTCTAGTCGAGTCCATCAGCCCCAAGGGAGGCGCCAGTCCTGGGAAGCCCATTCCCCGGCCCCAGAGGTGGAGGGGGCCCCGGGGGGAAGGAGATGCTCCTCTCTTTCTCTCCCTGGCCCCCCAAGTGGTGCTCCCTGGGGCACCTGCCACCCACGCTCAGCTCCCAGCCCAGGCCAGTGGCCAGTTAGCGTGGACAGGGGTGGAGGGGCGCCCCGTCTCTGGCTGTGGGTGGCGCCGCTGTGGGTGGGGTGGGGAGGCAGAGGGCGCCGGGCACCTGGCATCCCAGTCAGACAGGTCAGGGTGTGCGAGGCTGACAGGTGCTGTGGCTGTTTCCTGCCTTGGGCTCAAAACGTGAGGCCTGATAGGAGTCAGCTGAAAACCTGCTAGTTACCGAAAGTTGATGCACAAGAGCAGGTTAAAAAAAAATTCCATCCAATTTCTGGGCTAGACCCCAGGAAATTTAAAAAAATTAAAGGTTCATGTGGGTCTTCTCAGAGAGGGGGGCTTCTGCTGGGCTTGGACTCCTGAGGGTTGCACCGCCAGCAGCCTAGCTGAGGCCAGCAGCCACCACACCGGACACTAGCGGGTCCTTGCTGAGGGCAGCACCACTGGGGGTGCCTGCCTGGGAGGGGGCACCTGTGGGGAGGGGGTGCCTGCCCAGGAGGGTGCCCCCTAAGTCATTAGGGAGCCGGCTGTGGGCACAGAAGCCGCTGCAGCCTGGACGCCTAGGCTCAGCTCTCTCTTCTCCCGTTTATTGTGGCACAAAAGGAAATGGAGAAAATGATCTGCTGACCCCACAGCCCACTGCAGAGCAGGAGCTGGTGCAGGGTGTCAGCCAGGGGGCAGCGTGCTCCCGTCTCCACGGGTGCAGGCAGGCCTGGACCTCCCCAAATCTGTCCAGTGCCGTGCCGGCGTCTGCAGGTGCGGAGGTGACGCCAAGTGCCCAGAACCGTCACCTGTGCTGCCTGCCGGGTGGGATCCCGGAGCTTCTTGGGGCCAGACTTCGGAGAAGCCGTGTTTACAGCACCCCAGTGGGACAGGGAAGGAGGCAGTTAGGACTGGGCGGGGGTGGTCCATGACTGTCCAGAAATGTTCTTTCCCGAGCAAGCATCTCACGTTCCTGGTGAAGAGATCAAATGGGGAGGTTCCAGAGGGGGCGTGTGAAATGCTGATGAGGCTGGACGGAGCCTGGGAGCTGGGAGCTGGTCAGAGACCCATTGGGGGGCCCACTGCTGCCAGCTTCCTGCCTGCACTGCACAGCACATGCCTGGCCCATAGCACACCCCAGGGCCCCAGGGCGGCTGGCATGTGGGCAGTGCTGTCCCACGGTTAGTCCATGATTCCTCCCAGGAGACACCCTGGACATTGGCTTCCCGAGGAGGCAGCAGGTGGGCAGGCATGTCCAGTGGGGTGCTGGGTGGGCATTGGGCAGGCTCTGCCCAGAGGACTGGCTCTGCCCATGTCCCTCATCCCAGGGCAGACTGGGTGGTGGGCTCACCTGGAGAAGGGCCCTGCGCCCATCTGTGCCCGGCAAGGCCCCAGAGAAGGGGCACTGGGAGACCCCAGTGGGGAGCTGAAGCAGCTCATGGGTCCAGCGCACCAGCCTCTCAGGGCAGCTTCTCACCAGGCACCTACGCAACTGACTCTCTACCCTGTTTAAATATGATCCTGCTTTTATTATTTTTATTTTCTTTTTGAATAATACCCTTTTTCGGTTTTGTTTTTCAGTTATTTTATTTTATTTTATATATTTTTACATCATTTTTCATTTTTGCACAAGGTATGCATTTTCATCTTGGTTATAGACCCCATGCAACCCCCCCTTATTTTGACCCTAATCCCTCCTTCCCTCCCGCCCCGCAGTGTGTCTCTGGTTTACAGTTGCTTGTTGTAGCGAGTATGTAAACTGTAAATATCATTTGCATCCTTATCAGATACCAGCCTTTCGCAGATGCAGACTGCAGAGAGCAGACGCTGGTAGATAATGATTAATGAAACACCTTTATCGGACACCAGCTGTCCAAGGATGCTGACGTAATAGGGAGAGTGAAAGTAAATATTTTTGTTTTGATAAAGAATTTGCAGTGAAGTAAATATTTTGGTGAAAGTAAGATGTAAATATTTATGTGCATGTGTTATTGAATATTGGATGTAAATATGTTATTGAAAATATGTTGAGAAAAATAACTGATGCAACCTAGCTTAGGGAAAGTATATAAACTGAGAGACCCAAAGCACTTTGGCTCTGAGGCAAACTCAAGACCGGCAGGACTCTGTGCGACCAGAGGTGTCTCACCCCCTTCGGGATCCACCAAAGAAGACCTGGAACATTGTTTGTGGGCTGCGGCTGCCAGGCATCCCTGCGGAGCCGAGACCAAATTCGAGCCGCCGAGTTCAAGAGATTGAATCCGAGCTGCCGGACCACGGACGACTCTTCCCTGGGGACTAAGAGTGACGTTGCGGTCAGTGATTGCTCAAGGGACACAGCGATAGGGTACTGCTGGACATGATGTTTGGTTGTGTGCGGCTTGTGTGAATAAAGCATATGGAAAGGCACCGTTTATGGTCAGAGCTCTATTGGCCACACCTGCCCTGAGAAAGACCACCAAGGTGGTCTGCTTCCCTGCTCGACACACTTGTTGATTTTGATTTTTACTTTATTATAATTAGTCTTTTTCCTGGTCCCTTATTTAGGTTTTCTAAATTCCTGCTATGACTGAGACCATCTGGAATTTTTCTTTTTCTTTCTGGCTTATTTCGCTGAGCATGATCCCTTCCAGCGCCATCCATGTTGCTGCAAATGGCATGTGTTTATCTTTTTTGAATGCTGAGTAATATTCCATGGTCTATATGTACCACGTCTTCTTGATCCAGTCATCTATTTTTGGGCATTTGGGCTGTTTCCAAAGCTTAGCTATTGTCAACAGTGCTGCTATAAACAGGGGGTGCAGGTGTTCTTTGGAATTGATGTTTCTGGGTCCTTTGGGTAAATACCTAGGAGTGGAATTGCTGGATCCTATGGAAGCTCTGTGTTTAGTAGGTCCAGAAATCTCCACACAGCTCTCCACAGTGGCTGGACCAGTTTGCACTCCCACCAGCAGTGCAGGAGAGTTCCTTTTTCTCCACATCCTCGCCAGCATTTGTTGTTGCTAGTTTTTTTATTATGTGCCATTCTCACTGGTGTAAGATGGCATCTTGGTGTAGTTTTGATTTGCATTTCCCTGATTACAAGTGATGCTGAACATTTTCCACGTACCTGGTGGCCACCTGTATTCCCTCTTTGGAGAAGTTCCTTTTTGGCTCTTCTGCCCATTTTTTGACTATATTATTTACTTAGTTTCTGTTGAGTCTCATCAGCTCTTTGTAGATTTTTGTGATCAGTTCTTTATCATTACTGTGATCCTGGTTTTAAAAGGAGATTCCAATGGACACCTGTCACGCTGGAAACGGCCCTGGAGCCGGGCAACAGGCCTTTGATTAGCTTGACCATCAATTTTTTACTGTAGGTTTCAGCATCTGTTTTATTAGCCTGACTGGTTCTCCCCAGTGCTTCTTGGAATAAAGATGAAGATTTTATTCATTCTGCTAAAATGTGGAAACATCACTGAGCTCTGGTTGTATCTGAGCTCTGCTCCTAGTCATTACAACGTTAGCTCTCGACAGCAGTGAGTGTGGACACAACACCACAGCTGGGCCTGCTTTAGCTGATGCTGACACAAAGGGTGTTTTCTAAACACAAGGCAGATGAGAGCCCAGG